CCTAAAGTTGCATGTATTACTTGGAACTGCATACTATGTCATATATTTGGCTTCTGTGTATCATATATGTTGATTGTGTGAATTTTTACAGGTCCCCAGCTTAGCATTAGCTGCTAAGTACTTTTTTAAAATGGGAGTCGAGGGGAAAAGGTTCCGTCCTACTGTAAGTATAACAATTTTTTCCAACTGTTGATTTTCACAGGTTTACCTAAAGTTGCATGTATTACTTGGAACTGCATACTATGTCATATATTTGGCTTCTGTGTATCATATATGTTGATTGTGTGAATTTTTACAGGTCCCCAGCTTAGCATTAGCTGCTAAGTACTTTTTTAAAATGGGAGTCGAGGGGAAAAGGTTCCGTCCTACTGTAAGTATAACAATTTTTTCCAACTGTTGATTTTCACAGGTTTAACTGCTATCTTCTTTGGCTTCTTTAACATCACTGACAATCAAATCATTTTAGTTTATTTTGGGTTATGTGTTCTTGTGCGCATGTTTCTATTTTTTGTGTCTGTGCGTGTTTAGGACAACTGTGACACAATAGGCAGTTTTCTAAAATGGAGCTGAATGACATAGTCCCCACCACTTGATCACAATTTGATCTAATCCAAATCTGGAGCATAGTTTTGAAAAAATTTATTGACATACTACATTTGATGCAACCTAGTGTAGGAAATGGTGCCAAACCAGATTCATTGCTTTCTGCTGCCTGTTCTGACACTGCAGACATCTGTGCACGCGTGCTTGCTGTTAGTTTATTGACATGCAGAACAATGTGACATAAAGCATGTGTTCCTTCCTGAAGGATACATACATCATCTGAGTTACTCTTTCTTCTTCTTTCATTCCGACTGTGACTGCGAAATTTGTGCATACAGGTCTTATTATTAATGGCATCAGCTCTAAACATATCCAAGCCTATATCTGCTAGTACTGGTGCACCTAGTAGCGTATCACACAAATTGCGTGCAAGGCAGCAGTGTATTGCAGAAATAGCTGAAATGATTCATGTATGTTCCAACTGATCATTTTCTTTCCTTTTTAATCATTACTCTTGATTTAATATTTCGGATACTTAGTTGTCAAATGTAGCAGATTGAATCTCCTTTGTTTTTAAATACGCCATATATTTGGATCTTCAGTTTTCTTTTTCCTTGTCTTCTTAGGTGGCAAGCCTTCTTCATGATGATGTGTTGGATGATGCGGACAAGAGGCGTGGAATAGGTTCATTGAATTTTGTGATGGGAAACAAGGTATTTCTGTGCATTATTTTATTAAAGATTTTCACTTGAAGAAGAATTATACCTAAAATGATAACAATGTTTATATAGAGGGCAACATTGCATAGTTTTACCGTAGTAAGTACACCAATATTATAAACTAAACAGATTACAGATTTGATTGGCAGCTAGTGCATGATAGAGGCAAGCACGTGTGTCAACGAAGTTTTACCTGAAATCCCATGTATCGCCCAGGTTACTGTCAATCACTGCACATAGACGCGATGATACAAATCAATTACTCAGCATGCAGAGATCAACTGATTGACAGCCTCTACATTCCTTGTATGCAAGAACATTTTTCAGGAATCTTTTTACAAGATACTTGTATCTAAACCTAGAGATTTTTTAAGTTGTGTCTAGAGCATTAAGAGGCACTGCAAGCAATCTGCATTTAAGGGACTGAGGGGTTAGGGTTTAGGAGATTGCAAGAAACCAACTGACCACTCCATTTTCAGAATACGGTTTCATTTACCTATGTGGTTGTGTACACAGATGATTGTGACAGATTGCATAAATATGTTTACTTTGTAGTCGCTTGGTTTCTCCATGCTATCGAAATTCTATCGACATTCTTGTGGCTTCTTGCTTCTGCATTTCAATTTAGCTTGGATCAGCACATCCAACAAAAAATTGATCCTTTTGTATAATATTGACTTGAAGTTACGGAGGAAATTAATTTTATGTGTATACAAAGGTATGGTTCTTGATTTAGTGAAATTGAATCCATATCCAAAGGTTCCAAGTATAGTTAGATGTACATTAATCTGCAATTTCCCAAAGTTAATTATTAGAGTGTATGGATTACTGACATTGTCTTTATTTGCAGCTTGCCGTGCTGGCAGGGAATTTTCTACTTTCTCGAGCTTGTATTGCACTAGCATCACTTAACAATACTGAGGTACCTGAACAGAGTTTAGAGTCAGTTTGGTTTTTGTTATCCTCTAATGTAATTTTCAAATTCTATCTGTTTTTGCATTTTAATGTGTGGCATCTTATTTTTTTATTCGCTGTAACATGATCTCTTTTGCTTAATACATACATACATATATATATATATATACATACATACATACATATCAGACCTTTTTTTTTTCACTATTGAAAATGTTTTAGTTTCCAATTTTCTGTTCTTCTTCCTAGTCCTCTCCCTGCCTTTACTTTTGTTAACCCCTTCTTTGGGTAGCCCGCCTCCTGTCAAGAGCCATGTGTTCTTTGCTCAATGGAGGGCTTTAAACAGTACTAAACTTGTCAGTCGAGAGTAAATAGCTAATCATCATAGGAGATCCTCGTTGTTTGATGTTTGATTCTTATGAGGGTTTGAGTATGTTAAAAAAGGAGCTTTACGTAAAATTTGATTTGGGCTTTCTTTCTGGCATTAAGGAGAGAACTTCTCAAATTTGTAAAATTTTAATTCTTGTAGTGAGAAAAATATTGTCAGCTGAGCTGGACTATGAGATTTATAATTGCAAGAACATGGCTTAATCTTAATAGTTGTTTGTTTCTTGATTGCTTCCTTGCAGGTTTTAACATTGATAGTGACCATTATTGACAACCTGATTACTGGTGAAATGATGCAAATGAAATCTACGTCTGAGCAATGTAATAGGTAGACTGTCTGGAACTTACTCTACGATTTATGTTGCAATATTATACTTTTGCACAAAAAAAAATTAATAAATAAATAAAATTAAATAAAATAAGAAATAAAATAAGAAGAAGTCACACGTGTAAAGGCACACAAAGGAAAGTGTGAAGTTAGAGAAAGAAAAATGGTCACAAAATTGTAAACTATTTGGTACAATTCATTTGTTTCTAGTGGATGAAAATTTATTTGCTCTTATATAAAATCATTTTTAATGATTATCTACAGCATGGAGTATTACATGCAGAAGACATATTACAAGACAGCTTCACTATTTTCAAACAGTTGCAAGTCTATTGCTGTCCTGGCTGATCAAACTGAAGAAGTAGCTGAGCTTGCCTATGTATATGGGCAAAATCTGGTTGGTTATCAATTTTTTATGGTACAAATTTTGCTTTATTATACATATAGTAATTCTAGTATGATAATGTAATGATCATGCCAGGGTTTAGCATATCAGTTGATTGATGATGTCCTTGACTTCACTGGAACATCGGCTTCTCTTGGCAAAGGCTCTCTATCTGATATTCGCCATGTAAGTTCTCTTTTAGGTTATTCTTTTCTCACAATCCTTTGGATACTATGGCAAAGGCTCTTTTCTCACAATTAACTGAGAACAGTGGTTAAGAAATGATATCTTATGTTTTACATACTTACGAAGCATTTGAAAAATTGGAATTGCGGGTTAGTTTTACATTTCTCACTGGTTCAACTCTTGTGGCTGTTATCAATCCATTTGACATTAAGATGTCAAAGATATAGTCATGTTGCATGCAAATACAATAAGATATGAAGGTTTGCTTAGATTTGTATATATCTTTTGCTATCTCATCAACTGAAAAATAAGTTATTATGGACTTACTACATGTCCTTGTGATATTCTCATTATAGATGTTTATTTTTCTTACCTTTTCTTCATCTATTTCATTCTTGTGAGGTAATAATTCATGTTTATTTACACAGGGAATTGTGACAGCTCCTATATTATTTGCAATGGAAGAATTTCCACAATTACGTGACGTGGTTAAGCAAGGATTTCATAAGCCTGCAAATGTTAACGTTGTAAGTACCTGAATCATCCTTGCCTCTCTACAGTTAAAACAGGAAATGGTGTATTTTTCAGTATTGATCTTTCAAATTTTCTGGCAGCATTTAACCCCTCACCCTCTCTCCTATTCTTAGCGTAATTATTTCTATCATTCTTATTATAATTACAACAGGCTTCTCCAGAAAAATTGCAAGTCCTGTGACTTGTGAGGTAGTTGATCTATGGATATGAAACCAATGCTGGAATGTTAACCTAATATGCCAATATCTAATCTGGAAACTGCTGTCAAAAAGAGAATATTAGTATAAAATCCGAAATAAAAAGTTAGAAATTCAGGCATGATCGGGAGTAGTCGTGATTTCACTACCCTAGAAGATTGAGGACCCGCCTATCGCCCTTACGCAGTCGATCCTTTCTTCCCTAGCGGTAAAAAGCCCCGGTTCGGCCGGCCTCCGTACTCGGGCGAGAGTAGCAGAGCTTCTGCTCAGACGAAGATGGTTGCCCGAAAAGAAAATAATAGTAGTCGAAATTTTAAAGAGAGAAATGGAGGTGAAGAGAGAAAGACTTGTTGTTGTTGTGTATCTTCCGAGGAGGAGAACCCCTATATATATAGGAGTTGGAGACCAAAGAGTCGTTGCTCCAAATCCGCACACGTTACACAGGATCCGCGTAACTCCCCGCGTCATCTCCGTATCCGTTACGAACGAGTCAAAAGGAATTACAAAACGATAAAATTAAATATTTGCGATCCAAAAATGTGTGTGTGTGTGTGCGGTGCGACGTGGCGCGTGCGTGCGTCACGACGTGGCGAGGCAAGGCGTGGCGCGCGCGTGTGTGTGTTATGCAAAGCTCACAAAAACCAAAACATTATTCAAAGCCCAATAAGGGGTGTTCCATTGTAAACCACTTACAATCCAATTCAATTTTTAATGTGGGACTATTCACAAAGGCAAAATTGCCTTTTCATGAACAATACATCCAACAGTCCCCCCCAAAAGGCAATATTGACTGAAAACTCAAAATCAATAAATAAATCAATAAATCACAAGAAGGAATATAGGTTGGGCAACCTTTCGTATCGTGAATTCGGGAGAGGTAGCTTTCGGTTTTGAACGTTTCCTTAGTGAGTTCATCGCTACCTAAGGGATATAATGGACTAGGCCTTGAATTAGGCCCCTTGAATCAAGTATTGATAAAAACATACACAATACGTCTTCATCTATTAAGCAAAGCGGGTTGAGCGTCAAAGGTCATGCTCACAATAACCGACTTATGAGAGTTTCTAGGGGTTAGCTCAGCCCCTCAACCGTGGTCATCACGGTTTCTCTCACGTAGGTAAGTCCTTCAAGGGTACTACAGCTGGATATCATACCCTCCGTAATACACACGTTGAACTTATTAAGAATAAAACTCAGCCTAACCAGCTGTATCATAAGAGCATCGTCACCATAGAGAAGGGAAAGTAGCAGATGCTACCATAATGATATATAAATATATCTAGGTCGATGTTTCACACGAGAGTCACTAGTCCAGCTTGTTACTATCACATTAAACCTACATTGGGACTACGTCTCCAGATAAAGGTTAGGTTATCACTGTTAGTGACCTCATCTATGGGCTTAACCTCATCTCTCTCGATGAATCCAGAACCACATTCCTGGATAATCCCTTAGTCAAAGAGTGAGTAAGATTCTTCTCAGACTTTACAAAGTCCAAGATCACAACTTTACCTAGCAGGCGTTGTATAAATTTATATCTTATTTGAATATGTTTGTTAAGTTTTTTGTTTACATGCACTTGCTTTAAAAGCTCTATGGTAGATCTAGAATCAGAATGAATGGAAATAGGAGGAGAATGTTTAGGGATCAAAGGAAGTTCAGAGAGTAAATCTTTCAACCATTCTGCTTCTGTGCAAGTGGTATCAAGAGCAATCAATTCAGATTCCATGTTGCTCCTGGTAATTACTGTTTGCATTGTTATCGAGGCGCACACCTCAGGCGCGCCCCAGGTGCAGGGCGCTGTGGGTTGGAGCAATTGCGTCCGATACTAGAGGCGGGGCGCTGCACGCACACGAGGCGCGCGCCTCGTGCTCGCCCGTGTCTCGTGTGCGCTTGACACTTACATCATGTAATATATTCTTTATTTTGTTTTTTTAAATAATATACATATTACATATTTACATCAGTAATAGATTCTTTCATGCTAATTGCTAATCCATTCTCCATCTTTTCATGTTTAACTTATAAAAAGGAAATAGTAATTAGTAATTTAGTATACTTGTTTGCTAACTGTAACTTACTTCTCTAATTAGCATGTTAACTAGAAAATTATGAACATGTAAATATATAATTGTTATCTCCATTCTTCATCTTTTTATGCTAATTAACAAATAGCAATTAAGAATACTAACTAGAAAATTATGAACAGTCATGATTGTTAATCATTTAATTGTTACTTAAAAATACATATATCATATTTTAAAATAAAAATACATATTTCTTATTTGTTACTTGCTTGTTTTGTTTCATAGACTTTTGCTTATGTTGGAGTTTGTTACTTGCTTGTTTTGTTTCATAGACTTTTGCTTATGTTGGAGATTATCTTGCATTGTGATTTGTGAAAACTTATGAACTTCTCTATGTTATGCATGCTAATTAAGACTCTTTCGTGATTTAGTGATTTAGTAGGTGAAATTATATTTCTTAGTTTTTTATGTGACAATTTATAAACATGTTGCTTAAAGCTTCTTTGTCTTATGTTGGAAAATATTAGTTAGAGTTGTGTCTCAGTTCAGTAAGGCGCACGCATCGTTGTGTGCCTTGCGCATGGTGTGCGTAAGGGACTTTTGCGCTCCGCATTGCGCCTTGTGCCTCGATAACATTGACTGTTTGCTTACAGGATTTCTAAGAGACAACTACACCATATATATATATATATATATCCAGATGTAGATTTTACACTGCTAGAATCCGTGACCAAGTTAGTGTCATTATATCCTTCTATAACATCAGGGTACCCAATGTAAGTCAAGCAATAGTCAACTGTGCCTTTCAAATATTTAAAAACTCTCTCTAAGGCAGACCAGTGGTCTTTGCTAGGGTTGCTGGTATACCGGCTCAGTCTCCGTATAGCATAAGCTATATCGGGTCTGGTCCGATTGGATATGTATAGAAGAGATCCAATCAGCTGAGAATATTTCAGCTGAGAGACATGCTCACCTTCATTCTTCTTCAAGGATATAGAAGAATTATAAGGTGTGGAGACAAGTTTAGAGTTATGAAAGTTAAATTTGATCATCATTTTTTCAATACTGTGAGAAAGACTCAAAGATATTCCTCTAGTGTCTCTAGTGATTTTCATTCCAAGTATCATATCCGTAAGACCTAAGTCTTTCATGTCAAAGTTCTTGAAAAAATAATCCTTAATCTTTAAAATTAATTCAAGAGTTGTTCCAAAGATAAAGATATCATCAACATACAGACAGAGGATAACATAATCATTGTTCATCACTTTAGTGTAAACACACTGTAGGCGTCAAAAAAATACTTATAGATATTCAAATACTGCTCAAAGAGAGGATGATGCGTGTTATTTTCTAAGTCAGAGGGGATTATCCAAGGTCAAAAGAAGCAAAGGAACAGATGAAATAACATGGACTGACGCGCGTTAACACAGCAGCCAACAACTGACGCGCATTGGTGCGACAAAGTATGGTGACGCGCTAAAGCGCGGCAGCGTGTCGTGACGCGCGTATGCACGGTAGGATATGGTGACGCGCAAATAGCTGGGTAATCTCCTATGTAATTTGCTGATAGTTTTTTTAAACATCTTTTGAGAGTCCACGTGGCGGCATACCAGAAGAAGAACGTGTGCTAACGTGGATGGGTAGTTACAGGCCGAGAAAAGTGACATTTCGTGGGCAAAAAGTCGTGGGAGAACGGTTATAAACATGACTGAACGTGACAGAAACCGCCTCCTTAGCCGCGCCAGCCTACACTGACGCGCTAATAGCCGCGGCAATGAAGACTGACGCGCCCAAAGAAGATGTGGTGGGTTGGTTATTTTGCTCCCGTTTCAGCAGTTAGGGGCCCTTATCCCAATAAATACCTTCTTACACACGAAATCAAGGACGGAGAGCAGATTAGAGCAAATAAGCTTGGGCGTTTGGCGAATTTTGAGTAAGAAAGAGAGTCTTGATTCCTCAAAAATACTTTCAAGAATCTTTCGTTTATTCCTAGAGATTTAAGCATTGACTTAATCTTTAGAAGAGTGGACATTTTACACCGATAAGATATTCGCTTTAAATTCTAACTTCGATAAACGAAGAAAGAATCCCCAAAGCCATCACAGTTTAATTAGAATCTTGTGAATCGGTGGTCCATGGGCTAACGCACCCCCGACACAGGCAAAGTTCCCACAAAAGCAAAAATCGATAAACGATTTTTGTGTTATTTTCTAGAAAGTTATAATTTTCTTATTTTTTTATTGTAATTCGTTGTAAGCGATTGAAGTTTTAATGGATTCCACAATGAAACCAACTTTCGACGAAAACAAACTGACAACCATAGTGGGAGCCAACGGTCTCGCTACCGAGACCGTCGTATCGCAACCGATCAAGATGTCGGTTGAATCCACGGTCGAGTACGAGTTCGACCAAGCCAAGTTTGAGGAATATCTCTCATCATCCTCTTCAAGATCTTCATTGTCTCGCAAGTACAAGAGGATCTCACCATTAAAGAAGACTTACATGCCAAAGAAGGTCCAAGGTGAAGACTCTCACCTAATCGTTGCTGAGGCCTCCTCTCACAACATTATCCCAGCGGCTGCGAAAGCCGGAAGCTCTGCTCACGATGATTCCTCCCTAATTAAGGAATCATTCGATCGAAGTTCGCCAACTCTGACGAAGAGGGCTTGTCAGAGACAACGTCAGCACCGTGCCTGTCAATTGGCCAAGGCCATGGAACAAACTGACGGGGTTCGCTATTATGCGGACCTAGAGTCGAGGAAGCATCGA